CAAACTATAACATTATAATACCTCAATGAATTCAAACACTGTTTTAATAGCTGTGTCAATATCGATCTTTGTTATCTTTAGATATGTTTATCAGAAGAGAAAAAGACTACCGAAACAAATGAGTACGAAAGAGAAAATAGCAACCATCTATAAATAAGAACTGTTCTTGCCAACCAATTCTTGTTATAACCAAGAGATTTAATCATCCTTTAAAAATGTCATCCTCAAACCTTAAGCATGCAACAACTCGCTCACTATGGCTTAGCACAGCTGATTAGTGCAAAAACAAGCAATAGGAGAATAGAGGATCTTCTAGGAAAAAATTAATGAGAAGGCTGTCATGAGAAGATCAAACAAAGTAAAATTGCATTTTATTCTTTGTCACTAAGTTCATATGAACCTAATACTTTTGTATCTTTGAAGGATTCATTGAAACGATGGATGAGTGCTTTCCAATCAAATAGAACCGACTTTTGCAAAATCTTGACTAAAAAGTGGTCTAAATCGTCGGTTTAGTTCTCTTTATAAGAGTCGATCAACTTCTGTCGTACCTAATACAAAACTCATTTTATCGGCTTCATTTTCAAAAGAGGTATCACTATCGAGCGTCATGTTGTTTGAAGCAAACGCTTTCGATATGAATGATTAAAGCAATACGGAAAGACGTCACATTGCACTAAACATATTTGAGTCACTAGTATAATACTGCTACGATGAACATTTTATATTAATTACGAATCCACCTGAACTCTTTAATTCGAATTATCGCCACTAGCAAGTTCTTCTTCCGACAGCAAAAGAAGACGAATAGCAATGATGATAAATGTAGTGAGTGTCATACAACTCATGGCACTTTTCATTCTTTTAAAACTTATTTTTTCTCTCCTTTGTTTCCTGGACATATAAATCGTTTGCCGTGAGCTCTCAAGATCAAAAAGAGATCAGCATGAGCTTTTTTGAAAAAAAATACTATCGAACATTCACAAAGTAATCATTTGCATTTTCATGTATTAATAAGTTTCGTTCACAGAAAAAGAGCCATATTGATGACACTTTTCGCAACTTTTACGCGTGTGAACATTTCAGTCCCATGAGCACTCCTTCGCTAACAGCTGAATTAAAATTCCTCAAAGTATTTTGCATGATCGATGACTTTCTATTCTATAGTATCACATTTGAAACTAGAAAAAGAAATCTGGAAGTCATAGTTAGCACAAAAACTTGCCAACTTTTGAAAGTTTCAGAAAAAGACTTGTTTGTCAATCGATAGTTCGTATGGTCTCTATACTACCTACGTACATGGAATGAAGTTTAATCAAAAATTTCGATCGCTATGAATAAAGACTTTTGGTTTTATGTTTAATATCTTCGCTTTTGATTGAGTTCGTCAAGACTCAAGTAGTTTTTTAGACATTTCTACAGGTTATTAAAAAGCTTATTATAAGGGGGTCATTTTTCCTGTTAATTTAAAATGAATTTAAACTATCAGTAGATTAATTTGTTTTAAATATAAATTAAATTGCGTACAATTTTAATACTATCTAATTTTAAATGGTAGGACTAGTTTGCATGTAGGAGCTACTTCAATCGAGACTATTGATTGCATATCTTGAGCATTCTCAATAGAAAATTTCTTCAAAATCACCTTTGGGTTAGAAGTGTTACTTTATTTTTAAAAAATAAGCATAAATCAAATCTTAATACATACAAGATAAAGATAGAGATTTTTTCTTATTTATATTGATAAAATAAAGGTTTTCATGTATCAGTTTGATGTTTTAATAATATCACATGTCGAAATGCTGTTAGTAACAAGCAAGAATATTGATTGATATATCCTGCTGTTATACTAGATCATTTGTCCATTTCTCTATTCTTTGTTTTGTGTTTATTTTTAAAAATAAAGAATTGACGTATCTTTATTTTAACAGATGAAGAATTTATTGACGTCTATTTTATCAATATCAAGTAAAGATAAAGTAACATCCCTACTTCAGGTAATTAAAATGCTTTAGTTTCATGCTCAGTCGTTTTTTTGTTGCTTGTAACTATTCTTGACCTTCAACTTTAACTTTGCTAGTCTAATAATGTTGAAAAACAAATATACTTACATGATAAGTAATATTGGAGTGTGCGAATTTTGTTTTGTGTGCTTGCAGTCAGTTTTGCTTCGTATTTATCGTTGACAAAATTACTTGATTTTTTCCCCTGACGTATGGTTATGTGAATCAATGAAGCATGATATTTTCATCAGGTAGGCAATTACTTTTCATGGATGCATTCGTCATCACATATATTTCTTTCTTCCAACATGTTTTCTCTTTTTTTGCTTTTCTTCGCGTTTCATGTTGTAATAATGAGAAAATATACACAGATATTTGTATACACGAATGTGTCATATTTACATTTCGAAATTTCTTTCCCATCAATAAATAAAACAATAGTTAGTGAATCATGTTGTTTCAATTTTTATCGGTGAATATATATGTAATAATGAATAATAGAGTCTTAGACATCGTTTTAAACATATTTGAGACATTTCTTGAATTTCATTCACATTATCAGTTAAAAAACAATTGATATAAAACCAGTTAGAAAATATCACTAACAAAAAAAAACTATCAACAAGTCATAAAAATGAAAGAATGGTTCATCACGAACAGTCTTCTATGTGATTACAATGATGTCTTTGATTCTATTATTCATTACAGAGTGTAAAGGTGTAAGCAACAGCCTTCTGTTCATATTACATCAGGTATATGTCAAACTCAGCAGTTTTTGACAATACCTCTTACTATCTAAGGGAAAGCGATTCATACATCACCCTTATGCTCAATTGGCGACAAGGTCAAATCTCTTTTAAATGTTTTTGCTTTGTTGAAGTCTGTTGGTTCGTGCTAATATTGAATATATATTTTATTTTACGCATGCAACTTCACTTCCTTCAGTTGGATAGAACGTCTTGAATTATATACTAGTCTGAAGTCACATATTATTAATTTTTATATGTGTATCTTAAATTCTTTTGTGAACTGTCGATTTCTAGATCATGGATATGTCTCTATACTCTGTCACTCTTATTGAGACATACGACCAAAGTGTGAGAACAATAAAATAAAGAAATATTATTCACTTTTATTCAACAGAACAAATAGTGACTTTTCTATTGATTTATATTTCATATGTAAATACAAGTAACCGGTACACATCTAAAATTAGTTTATTCAATTTCACTTTCATATAAACATAAATATGACTAATACTAAAAGAGGATAAATGACATGAACATTATGAGTTTTCCACTATTTTTACCTCAACTGAAGTAATTTATTTCGTATATATTTTTTTCTTGTGTCGATAGACTACGAAGTTGAACTTGAACTTATCTCACGCGATGTATTCACGAAAGAATTCATCTTTTCTTATGTATAATAAGAATAAAAAACATAACATCATCATTCAAGTATACGTTGGGTGGTTTTGCAAATATAGAAGTTTATCGAGCGAAAAAAAATATTGATGACTGCATGATTATACTGGATTCTTTTCTGAAAGTGCAGACATCAAGAGCAAAAGAAATTAAGACAAACCTACATAGACAGGTAAGAGAAAAAGACATACTTGTAATATATAATATGTAGATAGAATGTGTGCACAAATAGATACTGAAAAAAGGCAAGATTACTTTTTTTTCTTTCTCTGTGTGAGAAACAGAAGTTTCAAAACTCGATTACTGGGTTGTTAGTCCATGAATACATTGACAATGATGCAGTCGATCTGCTTACATCTTTAGATAAACACAATCAATAGGTTTGATATTTCAATTAGCTTATGCTACTACTCGGAAACCTTTGTAGAGTCGGACCTGAAACGAAGTTCATAGGAATCAGTGTCTATTGATTGGATAAGATGAACAAGAAAAAACGTTCGACAACTATTTAGAAATTCACAACAAAAGTCATATGATAGGCAAACCATATATTTTGGTTAAATAGTGAAGTGAATCAGGGTGTCAATGTGAGTGCGAAAGAAGAGAGTACTTAACCCCATACCTACACTCACACCCCCCAATCAATATACTGATTCAGTTCTGCCAAAACCATCTGGAACTGATAATACTAACATTGGATATGGTGTTTCGATATTAGACAAAGTACTGAATATGAATGCATTAAAGTCACCAAAAGATTCTCCGTTTTAATCATTCACATTTCCTGTACTCAATGGTCTTGTAAACATGGGAAAACAACATTTGTTCTGATTCCATCTTAAACATGAATATTTTTCAACTGCATCGATGTTTCATCGATCAAGTATAAGGAAGTGTTTTAATTTAAATTGCAACTGAAAATCGCTAATCATCGATTTCAGCTATTTTATATTCTTAAATGAAAAGCAATCCATTTTGTTAATATTCAAATATAAAAACTATCTCACTTGATTATCAATAAGAAATTCAACCAAGATTCTAATTTACTGCAGCATAATAAATTAAGTTGTTGTTATTATATAGAAATGAATCGAGATTTTCAATATTCCGAATTTGACTGGATCCATTTTTCTAAAATCGTTCATTTCCGTGGTCTAAAGATGACTTTTAAGTCAAATGACATTATCTTGACGATTTTTACATTACAATGTTGATGTGCATCGGTTACAGAATTTTATCCTTCGTGAAGGCCGAATGGCAGCATACTTTTGAAAATTGTTTTGGCCCTTCCGAAAGAGGAGATTTGGGCAAAAAGTCCTGATCGATAGGATGAATTCAAATGTTTGTATTTTTTTCCGAAAAATCACCTGCTGAGCAGAAAAATTTACTGTCTTCTAGGCGATTGAATATGCCTAATAGTCTGCATGGAGGAAACCAAATTTTATCACACTAGGAAATCAATATATGAAGATATAGGGGAATTTCTCATCGCCGATAGCCTATGATCCAGTAGCTTTCGTTAAAAAGCGACTGATCAGTTGAAAAGTTCTCATGTCAGAAAAGAATGTTTTCATCCTACTAAATTTAAATATTTAGGTGGTAATCCATCTAATTCCTCTAGTCGACTAATACGATTATTAGCAAGACTTAAATATTGTAAACTATAACAATGTTTTAAACCTACATACCATCAAGAATAAGTTTTTGTAAATAGCAAAAATTATCCACATTTTTTATTTCTTCCATACGATTAAATGAAAAATCAGCTTCTTTTTGATTATATAGCAGCCAAAAAAGTCGAATAATTTCCGAATTTTATTATTTGAAATGTCGAGTTCAAGTAAATAACTTAACTTATTCACTGGTGATAAATCGATATAAAAAATGATCACAAACAAAAAAGTTCTAAATTATATGATAATTAAATTCTTTGTAAATGTGTATAATACTTAAAATTAATATGTCACGTAAACTATAACCCTATCAAGAATTTAATTATATCATTAACTTACAGGTAATGTCAATGTTAAATAAGAAATACTTGATACATCAACTGTTTTATTAATTTTTGAAATATGTTTAATAACTGTTTCATCATCCAGTATTCCAGCAACAAGATTCTTCTGTCGATAGTTACTCATAGCGATAGATATCTACAGTCTTTTGTAAAACTGAAGAAAACTATGATACTAAGCATAGATAATAATACAGCGGGTTTCATGGATTACATTTTTAAGATTTTAGTCGCTTGATAAGATAAAGATAATTTGTGAGATACTAGCAGATTGCTCACTTAATCTAGAAATAGTGCAATAATCGTAGCACGAATTCTTACTTTTTGATCATGCAATCAATATTTTTTTGATTTAAAGAATAAAGGTACAAGCTAAATATTCATACATCATCTGTTCATTACATAACACAGTCTATTTACATAATAATCTGATGAGCCTTCAAGATTTTTTTTTTTGCAATACTAAAATTGTTTACTAAAGCGAACAAATCAATGTTAGACCGTATTTGAAAATTTTTGTATTTTTCAAGTGCTTGATGAGATTGAGTCTTTCATCGAGATATTTTTGAATTTATTTTTGTTTACAAAATATTAAAATTGATTTTACTCTCGTTTAGATAAGAGTCTTCAAATCGTAATAAACTGAATAAATGTTTGTGAAATTCATAGTACTATACATATGGTAGCTCTGGACAGTTATTTGAACTGTCCTCATAGCTAAATCTAGAATCGAGCAGTAGTGCAGCACTTGACGTATGAAATGAATTAGGCGAAGCATTCAGAGATTCAAGTACTATTTTTATTTCTAATTTTCTATGTATGACGAAGACAATTATTAAAGCTTTGGCAGTCAATATGAAGAAAAAACTCGACATATTAGTTTCATCTAAATCATGCGAAATACATTGAATTAAAAACATATTTGGAGATTATCTATGAAGCTAAGATGAACTATGTTTTTAATAATTTATTTTGTTATGATTTTCGATGACAGAACTTTCTTTCTGAGGAGATTTTTCTTAATTAAGAATTGGAAATGAAGATTAACTAAATGCTAAACAACTTTTTAAAGTTAATAGTATTTTATGAAATTTAAAAAGCGACTGTCATATTAGTTTTATTAAAGAACAAAACTTTTACTAAAATATTTCTTATAATTATGAACATGATGAATTTGTATCAGAAGTATCCGATATATAAATAAATCCAAGTGTTTCAAAATTATAATCTCTTAATTTATCTTATTTAGCTTCTATTTTTCATTGTATGTTTGCTTTGAATCAAAAGAATTATCAAACACTAAATAATATTTGAGTATCCATTATCTGAATACAACATCATTTTCAATACAATCCAAAAATGTTACAGCAAAGAAAAAGAAACAATGCGCATTCTTTTTATTTAAAAAAAAAAGAAGAATAAAAAAAAGCTTACGACACTCGGTATTCCCAGGCGGTCACCCATCCAAGTACTAACCGAGCCCGACGTTGCTTAACTTCAGTGATCGGACGAGAACTGGTGTATTCAACGTGGTATGGCCGTAAGCAGTCTTTACATATAATTGTTTCAAGTTCATTCATCTATTCTATGAAATACGCTTTTAATATAAAATTCGTACATAATTATTTCGATTTGAAAATTTCTCTATTCGCACATCGTTCCTTACGATTAATAATAATCCATTCAAGTCCGCTCAAATATCAATTTTTACCACAAACGTTTGAAGGATAATAACTTAGTTCAGAACATGTTGCTAGAAAATTTTTTTCTGAACGTGTTACTGATCCATCAACTTAATCAAATCTTTTCAGAGTATATGAACATAATTCTTGCGATAGTTCATTCGAATTTTTGTTTTTATTCTAAGTCAAACAAATAAATGATGTTATCTGATCATCTTCAAGAATATTATTATCAACAAATTTATCAAGTTCAATCCCAGTACAATCATTTAATTCTCAGCTGAAATGAAAGTCATCGTTTATTTGATTCATCTTAATTTTTAATTGATTTCTATTTTTATGAATTATTTGTCGTAAAACAATGCGAGCAGTTTCCTTCTTCGCTTAAATCTCGTCGAAAAAATTGTATTCTTGTCCAAAATAAAGAAAGACACAGTAAAGCACACATGAATAGTTACAAAATCATGACGATAAATGAATTTTAACAATATGTTGTAAGCATTTCACATATGAATTCTATAATGTCTAACTCCTGCATAAATGCATGAAGTATATAAATCATAATTGATATATTTTGCTTGTTTTTGTCTGAAATGTACTGACCGCAAAAGATTAAGTAGGACTAGGTGTAATTGAAATAATTAGGACTCAATAAGATATAACAAGGATATACTTAAGTTATGCATAAAAATCTCATTATCTCTTCTCATACGCTTATTTGATGAACCACGATTCAATAGAGAAAAAAACCTATGAAGTTGAACAACTGACGAGAGAACGTTTCCAACTATCTAATTGCTTTTGCCTTCAAACTATTGACATTCAATCGGTCAGGATGAGTAGTGAAAAACATCAAATTAAAATAAGGTCTATTTATGAACAAATTTTGAATTCAAAATTCTGTCATTCCAAGTTCTCAGCGATTCTGTATTCACAGATTTCAAAATCAGACATAAACATGCCTATAATTCGATAAACAAAGACCAGAAAACTAGACCAAAACAGTCTTTCTCACTATTTATCATAATCGATCGAATGGCAGTAATTTTCTGTTAAAAACGATTGAACCGATTGGAACATTCTCTCATAAGCTTTGCCTCGAGCGATCAAGAAGAGAGGGATTAACTTTGCTAAAAGCCGAATA